TTTCTTAGTGATGGCGTTCTTTTAAATAAACAGGTTATGCTGCGTTCCGACATGTTTGTAAAACTTACTCTAATATAGACGTTTTAATCGGCAGGGTGGAGAGCAATACCAATTTTGCATTAAAGATATTGTCAATGAAATCTTGTAAAACGAACCAGCGAGCTGTGACACCACAGACTGTTTTTATAGTCGGTGTCTATATTAATACATGCTAATAGAATTGCCAATAAATATGAAAATCCATTGCCCTTATTCATGCACATACCAAAAATGAGCAAAATCCGTTGAACTTCAACTGACTAATGCGAATTGTCATTTCGGATAACAAATTGCCGTGGCTCGAAAGTACGTCGACTGGCGTGCTCCAAAATAGGACGTTTAATATGGGAGCATAGCAGTAACAACTATACCCAATTTCAAACATGTGGGTCAAACGGTTCCCGAGTTATCATTGACCGTAGCCAAATGTTGACGGACGGACGGACAGACGTACGACGACCCATGGCAATAGCTCAGCTTGACGATGTCAAGGTGAGCTAAAAACCAATCATGAAAGCCCACAACAACACATGAAAGCCACTGCTTAACATTTTAGGCCTCTAAAAATAATGTAAACCTTTCCTTAATTAAACAGGCTGACATTAATATCGTCGAAATATAATCGTTACGGTATAAGCAAAAAGTCGGATGCAACACTAAATATTTGCGAGCAGAATGCTCATGTATTGTTTCTGAATAAAAACCTTGATAACGTAAAATTTGCAAGACAGTTTGTACCTGTGATTTCTTTCCACCCATGGTGAGATTGCTGACTGCCCACGCTGCCTCCTTCTGTATTTGGAAATCTCCCTAGAGAGAAAACCGCACAAGGTTCATCAAGCACAATATCATATATTCCAACAATAAACAAGAACGTTAACAATTTAACAATTACACTTAAAGGGTGATCACACCTTGTTGCTCTACAGATGCAACCATCTACTAAATCAATCATCAACTACTCAAACCTGGTTAACCACCCAGCATCAAGTTTCATCGCGCAAGTTGCTATGCGTTTACTTACTCTTTGTTTACGTTGGTGTGCAAGTACACGTTAGTTTATTAACTCGTATAACGGGTAGGCATTTCTTCACTTCTGTCAAAAATGTAGTTGTTTACTTACTTTGTCGAGCAGGTGGATGATCAGTTGTATGAGTCCTGCATCGATGACGCTCTGTACCTGTTGCTGATTGCCCGCCGTCACGTTAGAAAGGAACCACACGGCCTCCTGTAACAACACAGTCACGAGTTATTCACACGCCAGTGAGAGCACACTGGAATTAGATTCCGACTAACTGCGTAAAAAAACATTTAAAAAAGGCTCAGTCAATGCCTTGATAGGGGGGCGAATTTAGATTTTTGGAGCTGTTGTCGACAAGTGTTAAAGACAACTTTTGTTATAAATTTGATCAGAAACTAGACACCATGTTGTGATATATGTATATATATATATATATATATATGAAAATTGTTATGTACTCTCTATTATGTACTCTTGATATATATGCGCGTGCGTGCGTGCGTGCGTGAGAGCACACTGGAATTAGATTCTGACTAACTTTAATTTGCTATTCCCAAAACCAGAGACCGCATACAATATATTGGACATACACGCGCGCGCGTGAAAATCTCGCACGCGTGCTCCAGATATTACATGTTATTGTATAATAGAAGAGAATAGCGGGAGGGGGTTCATGCTGGCTAGACTGTCGTTTTATTGGTCGCGAAATTAGCATGAAAAACGTTTTTTTTATAAATTGGGACCCCGTGCCCTCGACGACAGGGGTGACACATTCGTGACACATTCGTGACACGATGTGACTATATATGCGCACAGAACTCACACAAGCCACATGCCTATAAATCCGAGATAACGGATAGCTATGTATTTTCGTAAATGAAAAGAATTGCATTATATATTCAGGAAAGAATGGATGCATAGTATCAGGAGACTGTATAATATAGATCTATCTATTATACACTCCAGATAATAGCTGCTAATTCTAAACATAACAGCCAGCTAGGCGTCTGAACTAAACACTTAAATTCGCAACGCAGAAAATTTCGAAACTGAATATTGTGCCTACTGTGTATATTTATAGTTTAACTTTTGTCAAAACTCTTAATTCAGTATAATAATATGTCAGTCAGTAAATCATACCAGAGGTGTAGGGCTACGGCTTTACGTTCACTGGCCATATATTTTGTTAGTTAGGTATATATGGACGTTTTGTCAGTTTCTCGTTTCAATCAGCGAACCAATGTTCAAACCACGGCGTGTTGGCATATGAATATTACATGAGCGAATGACGGCAAAAGTTGCTGGCCCGATGTACGATATCACTCAATGTCGCGCATTGCTCCCACATGCTCTACATCAGTTTAACTCTGGACTCGTCCCTCAACGATTTTTACGTGCGCTGTAGAATAGTTATGATTGACCAATAGGTACAGTTAATTACTACACGTGTAACAGTCCAAATAGAAAGTAGTGAGCACGGTTGAAAGTAAAGTCCCAATAATAAAATATATAAACACTAAAATCTGTAGGAAAGACAGATAAGAATTATTTAGTCCATAATCAATGAGTAGCCTTTGCTAACTGTGTTACATTCAGGGATTCGCGTATTTCACATTAAACGGCTCTTGAGCAAAAATTGCTGTTATACCAAACTGCTATTAAGGAATACAAATTTCCCATCGAATGACAGGTACAAATAAACATACACTACTACTCTATTAATTATTTACCATATGCATGAACACATGTACAGCCATCTACCAAACCTGTTTCACATTTGACTTATATGCCCATTCACTATGCGCACAGCTATCGTGTTTATATTGAAACAGGCTTGTTAGTAACACCAAAAGTTGACAAGGATATCCTTAGCCATTTTGGTAACATCGTATTTTACAATCAGAATACGATCCTGGTGCTTCATACGAGAAACGACACTTTAATACGCAGCCTGCTATTCTGTTTCAAAGGAACGCCGCAACTAGAAGGCTGGCAATTTTTCTCCTATCGAGACCAATCGATGCAATTGCTAAAATCGAATCATCGCATCATAACACGTAGCATTTCTACAGCATTGCCGTAGACGCCGAGTATAGCTCACCAACGGTCACGCGCACGCCCTATCTGCCCTGCGCACACACGAGCGACTTGTATCGTCATTACACCGACATTACAGATCACGCACGCAGGGACATCGCTTGTGTCAGCTTCACACTGCAGCAGCACGATACTCCCACAACCCTCGTACGGACTCCGTCTGTCCTTTCCCGTAGTGGCGATACTAGTTCATCAGTCTCCGTGCAGCACGGCGGTGGCCAGCAAGCCTCGCCATAGCTGCACACACACGCACACATGCCGTCACTTACACGACGAGACTACACCAAGTAGTTCCATGCCGCCTACTATTGCACAGCACGGCTGGTGGCGCCCCCAGCCGGCGACAACTAGTATGAAGCACCATTAGTATAATATACGCTACACCGAGGTATTAAAAGCTCACCAGGCCATTTTAGTGCCGTCTCTCCCATTTTTAAAATACAAAAATACAGCGTTAGAAAAACCATTTACTGTACAAAACCATATAAAACAAGTCATCGGGGCCTTTGCAAGCTGTGTGCTCACACTTGCTGGCTAGGATTTGCATGTTCACTTCTATATCTCAAATACAAGTATCCTGGGATCAACTGCCGGGTAAAATAGCCTGCTGATAACTCATTAAAGGCAAAATAACGTGGATTGAATATGCCATGCACCTACAGTCATGGGGTCTCACACCAACACGAACTACATACCTGCCATGTAATGTGAAGCGCATGCGCACGCATATTGCCAGACAAGTCAAACTGTTAAGTATAATTCCACTGCTATTTTCAAAGAACCTGATTTAAAAGTGCGTATGAGAGTGTGAATGTGTGTGTGTGCGCGTGCGTGCGTGTGTGTGTGCGTGCGTGCGTGCATGGCTGGCTGTCTGTCTGTGTGTGTGTATAATATATAACGAAGTAAAGCTGTACACCGGAGACATCAATATTTACAATTACAGAATTTCCCTTTTTGCCTACCTAATAGGGATCATGTTACATAAATCATTTGAAGCAATTTTGATAACGAAATTTCGACCTTGCCATATCGTGTTTACATTGGCAACCTATATAAACAACAGTCTTAAAATATCAACTCACAATATAATGTTCACTAGTACACAAATGGCTGGCGTTTGGCATAAAAGAGCAGCCGGTACCATTTGAGGTACCGTTATTGCATCAGTAACCTGTAAACTCATCAATTTGTTAATAACATATGACCTGACATTTTTCTAGCTCAACCTTTACTCATGTGGAGAGGGTACATTCAAGGGAACTTGCTTTTCTGCGAGTAGACACTATCTACACGTTAACAAAAGAAGAAAACCAGCTCCTTAGCACAATCACTATTCCGGCACAAAGGTGCAGCTTTCCGTTTGCTTACGTTTCTCATTTTCTCTGTAAAATGCCCCTAGCCAAGCTTCTGTTGCTCCAAGTTAATTCCTACATTTTGGCCGATGTTATCAACTTGGTAGACCGGCCACCTGGTTCCGATAGATAGAACGATTTATCACTCACATGAGAATACGCCCTATTCATGCACCGGATCAACACGCCAATGCAAATAAAAGCAGGATTCTGTGGCAAAACCCCATCAAGTCAAGGAAAGGGTTGTTACAAAAACATTTACACTTAGCAACCATATAACAAGCCGAGTAACTATTGCAGAAACTAAAAAATACTAAACTGATATTGTTCTAACCACTTGGGAGGAGTTTACTACATTCAATACAATTTTACAAATTAGAAAAATCACTAAATAAAAACAGTTGAAAAGTCATCAACCTGTTATAACAATTTACACACAGTGGCAAGAAATGATTTACCGCATGCTTAACGCGAAGATTTTCAACTATTATTTACACTATGGCCAGCCACGTTTCAGAATCACTCAATAATAAAAAAAAAAAACTTCGGTGAATGTCCGCAAGATAGCACCGAATTCACCGCGTTTCTCCGCTCCTTGAAGCTCATGTGTAAATCATTTCTTGCACAACTGGCATGACAACAAGGATGCATACACTAACAGCAGCCGTGAAAGACTGTGACACCCCCGCTGCCATCATCCTGCTCACTCATGCACACCAACAGTCTCCTCTCGCCAGTGGCGCCACCTACATTTTACAGTAGCGCCACCACGTAGGATGAATGCCCTCTGGTGGTAAGCGCAGTCTAATCAAATTAGAAACACAGTTCGAGTAACTCGACGTTTGCTGGTTATGCATGGGGAGTCATTTACAAGACAGGTGTTTGATTCTTCAATGAGAGGGCACATGTTTGACATGTAGCCTAGCAATGTTTAACCGGACAGGAAAAAACACTGTAGAACGAATACTGCACTGCGTTCACCTTCAATCACTGAGATGCAAACAGTGCTAAAGGTTAAAGCTTCATACAAAGTCTGCCATGATAACTTTTCTTCAAACGCGAAACATTATATTAACCTAACAGCTAGTCAGTACTCTTTTCTTCCACAAGATGGCTATTGCCATAAAACCACTGTATTGAAAAGGACAGGGTTAGGCAAAACAAAAATGTTGGAAAGATTCTGTGTGCGAGAAAATTACAGTTATTTTGCCGAAATTACTTTACACGAAATTAAATACTGTAAATGACGTTGGTCTATTTCGTATACAGATTAACCTAAAATTTGAAACCCTCGTTCGGTATTTCAGGATTTACATCAAATTGGTAGCCTTGCTGTGTGCTGTCCGGTACAAGGTTCGGATCTTCATCAATCTGCAAAAAAAGTGCATACACTCATTATGTAAGCGGCACTAATAATAATTACAATACAACCAGATTCAACTATGAACACTTGAAAAACTAGACTAGAGTTGATTAAACACTTACAGACTATACCTGGAAATTGCAAAGACAAGGTAGAAAGTGATATGTGGTATTTTATTAAACAAGGAATTTTCAGTAGTAAGATACAATTCAGCGTCTAAATTATCCCTAATTTTCCAGTTTCGAACTATCCAGAATTTTATCGCATGAATAAATGACTACTAAATTAGATAACCAAAAAATAATTTAATTGAAATCACTAGATTTTGCAGTCACCTTACAATAATGACAGATTCGTCCATTAAAGTATAAAAGAACTAATTTTCAAGTCTATATTCAAATACAAAACACATTTGATTTAGTACTCACATCATCAGAGAAGTACTTGTCAATAATTTCATATGCTAGTTTGTATATGTCTTCGTTTTCATGACTCTGTAGTGCTTCTATTTTATCTAGACCTGTGAAAAGCAAATCAGATTCACCTTAACTTCAAACACTTTCAATAACTACATCCTATCATTTCGCAACTATATAAGATTCCATCTGAGTGAATTTGTTTGAATTGGTTATATATACTAGATTAAGACAAACAAGTGCGCAGAGCGACAGCACTCAACTGACGTGTACTGTAGCCAGGTATTCTTCTGATAAACTCACTGGCAACCGAATCAAGTGCACCCTCCTGCCACCGCATTCGCACTCAGAGCATATATCTAGGATACTACTAATACAGATCTAAAATCTATGATAGGCTTTGCTATACCTACTGGTAGTCAGTAATAAAGATACAGCTGTGCTAACTTTAATGACTTGCTATATAACATGTTATCATGGATATGTGTCGCGCTGGACGTAGTGGTGGTGGTGGTGGAGGGAGAGTGGGGAGAGGGGTGAGGGGGAGGGGGGAGGGGGGGCTGGTAGAGGGGCTCTATAGCAAACAGTTCAGGTCTTTGTAACAGTAACAAATCAATGTTTAACCCTCCATCTTGAGGGGTCACAAAAGGTTTATCCGACACTTACTCTTCGCAATGTCCAGTCGGAAAGTACATCTTCATGGTCCTTTCAATAAGGCCATAAAAATGTAGGTCACCGCTGACAAATAAAAAGTTTTCAATCGGCTCCGTCAGGAACCATGTCCTCAGACATGTCTAAAATCTGCCTGTGCCACATTCTTTTGACCTGTGACCTCCAATTTCGGCACGTGATGGCTTTTTTCCATACCATGAATGCTATACACCGACTATCACCAGGTCAGCCGTATAGATGTTGTGCCGCAATGCTGCATTTCCTTTCCCTATACCTTAAAGTTAAGGAGGGAAGTTCCCTCTTTTACACTCTTGACCTTGTGACCCCGAAGCTTTCGACATTCCACTCGTTTTCGGATTACCCCCACTCACTGGATATCGTGACCATACGTCGAGCGATTTAAGATTGTGCCACCCTGTTGACGGACCCATGACGCCGCGACGACGACGACCAGATCATGCGATTCTACAAGCTGCATCTGACTTCGTCAGATGGCTAAAAATTCAAGAATTCAAAAAAAGTGTCTGGTCCCAAAGGTTTCGAGATAATAGATTGTTTACTGTACAGAGAATCATTGGCGATGATTACCTCCGCATTCTTCAATCATGCTGGCTACCCCTCTCTGACTTTCTCGCCAGCCATCTATCAGCATGTTGTTAAGACCATAGGAAGACCACCTGGAACAATCTGTAGCAGATCTTTTACAGTCAACAGCTGAGTGAGTGGCGGTAGAACTCCCTGGACTTGACCAGGTAGCCACCGTGCTAATAATGAAGTGTCAATGACACTGTAGCTTCACCACAAAAAAAGGACACCAATGGTGGTGAGAAGATAAGTCAGTTTTAATTGAGACAACCATCGAAGTACTTATAGAACGAAGAGTATATATGGGAGAAGCCATTATATATCTTGATAATTATATATGTTGTTATAATTTTTTATAATGTGACAATAAATAATATTATTTTATAAATTGGATAAATAATTTATTACACCAAAATAATCCAATTTGTGACAGGTAGATGGCCGCTAATCCCGCTCTTTGATGGTTTTATAGGCTAAGATTGATTATCTCATAATAATAATTAATAATACTAATAATAGTATAAATCATAATTGTTATAGCAGGTAATTTTGCATTAAAAGATATTGTCAATGAATCTTGTAAAACGAACAGGACGACGTGTGCACCACGGGACTGTTTGTTATCTGCCGTGTCTATATAATACATGCTATATAGATTGCCAAACCCTTCTAATTTGCATTTTTTTTTTAAATATCAAAACTTAGCCCATTATTCTTCACATATGCAAAATGAGCACAATCCAGTGAACCTGATGGAGAATGCCAATTCTCATTTTTGCCAAAAAATTGCCGTGGCTTCGAAAGTTAGTCGGACATGGACGCGTGCTCCAATAGGACGTTTAATATGGGAGCATAGCCAGTAACAACTATACCCAATTTCGAAACATGTGGCGTCAAACAGGTTCCCGCAGTTATCAAATTGACGTGCAAATGTTGACGGACGGACGGAAGACGTACGACGGACCCATGGCCATAGCCTCAGCTCTGACGCATGATCGAAGGTGAGCTAAAAACCAATCATGAAAGCCCACAAACACACATGAAAGCCACTGCTTTAACATTTCTAGGCTCTAAAAAATAATGTAAAGCCTTTTCTTAATTAAAAAGGCTGACATTACTATGCGTCGAAATATAATCGTTACGGATATAAGCAAAAAGGTCGGATGCACACTTAAATATTTGCGAGCAGAAATGCACCTTCGATGTATTGCTTTCTGAATAAAAAACCTTGATAACGTTAAATTTGGCAAGACAGGTTTGTAGCTGGTGATTTCTTTCACCATGGTGAGTTGTGACTGCCCCGCTGCCTCTTCTGTTATTGGGAAGATCTCGCCCTAGAGAGAAAAACGCACAAGGTTCTCAAGCGACAATTAATATAATTCCAACAACATAAACAAGAACGGGTACATTTAAAATTACACTTAAGGGTGATACACCTTGTTGCTATACAGATGCAACGATCTTACTAAATCATCATCAAAGCTACTCAAACCTGCGTAAGGCGGGTCGAGTCACCCAGATAAGTTTCATCGCGAAAGTTGCTATTTGCGGGGTTTACTTACTCTGTGTTTCGTTGGTGTGAAGCTACCGTTAGTTGTATTAACTCGTATAACGGGAGGCATTTCTATCACTTCTGTGCAAAAATGTAGTTGTTTACTATACTATTGTCGAGCAGCGTGGATGATCAGTTGTATGAGTCTGCATCGCTTATGGCGCTCTTAAGCCTAGTTGTGATTGCCGCCGTCACGTTGGAGGAACCAACGGCCTTCCTGTAACAACACAGTGCAGAGTTATTCACCACGCCAGTGAGAGCACCTTTGAATTAGCTTCGGCTAATGCGTTAAAAAACATTTAAAAAAAGGCTCAGTCATATGCCTGATAGGGGGGCGAATTTTAGATTTTGGAAGCTGTTGTCGACAAGTGTTTTTTTATGTTTTTTGTTTTTTAAAGAGAAACTTTGTTTATAAATGTGATCGAAACCTAGACACCATGTTGTGTGAGAGATGTTTAATACTATATATATATATATATGAAAACAGAGATGTCAAGTAAAATGTTATCTTTCTCCCTTTTTGAATAGCCCATAGTTTTCTCTCATGGCCTATATCTTCTTTTCCCTGACTAACTTGTGACCATACCAGGGTTCTCCCCAGGATGAAATTCAAACAGGGGGGAGGGGGGAGGTAGGGGAGGGGGTAGGGGGAGGGGGAGACTGGGCGGAGGGGGAGGGGGGAATATGGGGCGGTCCGGGGGGGTGTAATTTTTAACGTACGACTAATTAATGCGTAAAATCGCACACACCATAGCGGGATTTGGGGCTTCTTGCTATATTAGTAGCCGAGTCGAGTCTACCCTGTACAGTTAGTGACAGGTTAACTGCATGTGCATTGTCTGGTTAACTTGTGTACTGTCTGCAGTGCATGCGTGGTACGGTAAAAATACACCCGTCGGATGTCCTGGTCGAACGGCAATTCTTGACGGTCGATTCCCGCGCTGGCAAACTTTTATTGTGGTGGAATTTAAACGGGGCGGAGGTAATTCAAACGGGGCGCAACGATTCAAACAGGGGGGAGTTTTCCCAAACTGGGCGCGCGCGCCCCGTTTGCGCAACGTAGGGAGAACCCTGCATACTTACAGTGAATAATACAATAAGATATGTACCTGAAGGAAGACCCATTGAACATCGACAAATAAATTTAACATGAAAAAATCTCACTAAGGACGACGTCGCGTACGTATGACGGCAGAACAGTCGCGCAGTAATACCTTGTTGATTTTTTCCTTGGGATGTGATAGCAGAGCCGGGAAATGGGCGAGTGCTTCACAATTCAGCACGACTTGCGTCTGCTGGTCCGTGCCTGTCACGATGTTACCGACCGCTCGCAGTGCTGCCGTCTGAACTTTGACCTCCTGGTGACTGAGCAGCGGAACAAGGAAGGGTACTACTCTCGAATCGATCACCATCTGTGAATAATAAGTTAAGCCATTACTGTCAAAGCTAAGAGAAATATCACATATAATCACAAGTTTATAACTACACTAAAATCACAGAAATGTGTTCTACGAAAACAAATGTATTTCCCCTGGATAAAATCGTAAGCATGATGGCAGGGTTGAATAAGTGAGTGTTGAGGGGACTGCCGAAAAGCGATACTAAGGGGGTCACCACGCAACTTTGGTGTTTTCTTTGGTGCGTGGCAGCATTGGCCAATGTATGGGGATGCCAGATGGAGGGCATAGGAGAACCAGCAACTGGAGGAAGTTGGTCAGATAATAATGGGTTAAGGGGGGGCAAATTTGCAGTAAGGCATCAATTTCTGAAAATATTGAGCAATGCCGATGAAAAAATCAGCAAAGCCATCCGCCTCTCTATCAGATGCCAAAGGGAAACATTGCCAGCGTGTGGTTTGTTGCTGAATATTTATTTTCAAATAATCAACGATTAAACATCGGTTTAATAGTGGGTTAACTAGATCGTTTTTAATATGCCATATACGTATAGTAATAGGTACCTGTATCTGTTCATTTCCACCGTCTGTCAAATAGGAAAATGCCCACACTGTGTCCACCAAAATCTGAAACAACAGAAATTATGTCAGCTCTAAGGAAAACGACAATTCGTTATAATGACGACAGATATTCATATCTCATAACCCAGCCTTGAAAGTTAAAAATTGATCCGAATTTTTACATTGATCTAAAATCTAGATGCACTCGGCTCACGTTTGGACGTAAAACAATTAAGCTACTCGATAACAAAAACAAGTAGAATTAGCACTTCTACATGCCAGATGAGGATATAGCTTACATTTATATCAGTGTGGTGTATGAGGCTGATGAGTGCTGGAAGAATCTCCTGGATCGTCTCCATCGGCGGAGGCGGGTCCTTGTTACGACACAGATTGACTATGACCCAGGTGACATTGCGGAGAAACGAGATTGGGTATTCGGGTGTGATAAACGCCAGCAGGGGTTTGACTACGCCTAGATGTATGACATAGTCCCTGAGTGGTGCACCGTCACCTGAAAGCATCACAAGTACAACAGCCTTAATCACTTATCTATCACACTTATATGCAACTATGCCACACAAGAATAAGCGAGTTCGGCATTACATCTGCGCATGCGCGAGTTTCCCCAGGTCATGAGTCATTCGGGATAAACAATAGGTTCCCGCCAGCTGAGCTACTGTGTATACATTACGATCGATGTTTTTGACCGGCGTTTCATACGTACTTTCTAGTTTTGCTTCTGATTTCCAACAGTATGACAGTACTGAACTATACATTTAGTTTGTGAATGCCCGATGTATAGTTGCATTTGCATAAACAATTTTAAGAGAATTAGTGTTTTCAAGCCACAATGACCATTTACTAATTGTTATACTGTACGTGTGTCTGGATTAGTTCCAGGATGCATGTCGGGATCTTGTTTTGTATATCTGCTGTGTAGTTTTTTATAATTCCTCATGTACCATGTAGAGATAAAATGTTGGGGAAAATCGTGGTGCTGAATATTTAGGAGGTGGAATATCATGGTTGCTGTATACACGATAGACTCCGGATAGAGGGTTGCTTGCTATCATTTGTATTGGGGGGATACAGGGATTACTTCTCAGACGATCAACTCTTGCAAATATTCAAGTGAAAGAACATACAACTCTCTCAGCACATTCAGCATATTTCCTACATATCTCAATCAGTAAATGTACAGAAGTTCATACAACTCTTCATTTCTTTCATTTCATTTAATCATTTATCAACCATTGTTTCATGTTTCACTGTACATTAGCCATTAAGTTACATGTGTATATGTTTAGAAGTAGTCACACATATGCATAGCACTTATGTCCAGAGAGACATGATACAAGATTGCGTGGCACAGCTTTGCTGTTGATCCTAAGCGCTCCGCGCAGAAAATTAAAATGTATGATATATACCATAAACATCATATCAGGTTAATTCGTCTCTTATTACGTTCCTCAGTTGTGTACATGTTGTGTATATGTGTGCGGTATGAATAGTGGTACTAAACACGAGAAACTGGTTTTAATAAAACATGTGGCTGATGTATTGCATTTATGTGCCTACAACCAGTTCAGCAGCGAGGTGATTGTTGAAGAACCATGTAGATTCTATTGATTCGCTCCACATTGTTTCAGACAGAAGTAATTTTGTAGCAGAGTGCATAATACCAGTGAGATCGTCATCATTGAGAAGGATAATGTGGTTAGACGCTTAACTTTGTGAACCATTATCCATGTCACCAGACACATTTCAATTAAAGGACTAAATGACCACGACTAGAAAGGTACATGTACAAGTATATTCGGGAAATGGAAACGTTACAAATATTGCTAATTTCACTAGCGAATATTACAAGTACTAGTACTAGCTGTTATTACCACTCGAGTTAAGTCAATAATTCAATTGTACTATTTTTATTTGATCAGCATGACGACGTTTTCCTTCACTGGCAGTCGGTAGCAGGGACTTCTTCATGTACGACGCAGCGTAAGCAAGAGCAACGAGTTCGTCTTTTCGTCCCGTCTTTTTCAACCCCCTGTCCGCTAAAAAATGCTTCAAAGCAATGGCTTTCCATCGCAGAGAATCATCCAGTGTCATATCATCGTCATTTGCGTCAGCCATAACCAATATAAAATACTAAGAAGACGAAAACTCAGACCAAAAAACGTTACCTTTACCCACAGTTTTTTCCGGGGTTGGTTTGGCACGTTTCCTTGTTCATCCCGAATGACCTTTGACATTTCCCAAGATTCGTTGCGCGCATGAGATACCGAACTTGCTTATACAATCATAGCGCTGCCTCGCGTGAGAGCAGCTGTAATAATCTTATTTATAACACATCTGTAACAAGTTTACACTGTTACCACAAGACTTTTGTTAGACACATCAGTGGAAAGACCAATTTTAATCAAAATTTTCAATTTTTTTGGGGGGTGAATAATAGAGGAATGAATTATATGATCGTCAGGTTTATTTGCTTTGTAATTATGGGACCTTACCCCTTTAAATTCTCACACAAATGTATTATTTACATTTCCTATATTTGTTTAAGACAATTCTTCCAATTCTTCCATTCCAATTCCAATTCTTCAAGCCCAGAATACATCGAGAGCACCATATAAATTTTTTGGCCCTATTAATCTTGAAAATTATCTCCAAACATAATGGAAGTCAATGGGACAACGTGATTCATGTGACAGAATTCCGTATTACAAATGTTTTACCCAAAACACCTACCTTTCGTAACGAGAGATATTACTGTAGTAATCCTGAGAAGATTGTGGACGATTGGTTTCAATCGATATTTCAGCATATGTGTCTATTTCTACGACTGGTATAGCCCCGGGCACAACGGATCGTACGAAATTTTGTCGTGGTAGACCCATAAAATATTTGTCGTGGCCAGATCTTACAACATGCCCGAAATGTATTTCGAGTGGTCACAAGGGCTACGACACATTAAAGATGGTTTGGCGATAGGTACACGACAGAAAAAAAAAAGATATGTCGTGGTTATGTCGCAAGTCCGTACGTAAGTCAGTAGTAGGACAGACTCACGACAACCAGAAGACATAGATACCACAAAAAATCGTGGAACAAAAAAGGTGCATGTTCAATTTTGCCTCACGACGGCAAGTCGATGCCACGCTTCTCAATATTTCATAAAACTGTCTTGCGACGACCCCCGATGACCCACGATTTGCCCAAATTTCCTGTCGTGTCGTGGCACAAATGCGTCATGGTTTTGTTGTGACCGAGGCTTATACAATAACCTTTAGTGAAATACAATACCTATGATATTTCCTAGAGCCCAGACTGCCTGTTCGCAAACATTTTGATTTGGTGAACTAAGAAGTTTCAGAAAAAGTGGTACAGCACCTGCAACATAAAACTGACAACTATACCAACTGTTGCACATTAAACCACATACATTTGTAACCAATATCTGACAGGAGAACATCGCATTTTGATATATATATTATCAAGAGCTAATAAATACCTAGCGTGTACAATGAAAAAAACGGGAAAATAGTGCTATTTCACGGCAATATTATTCTACTTTGCCTGTGAGTCTAGAATAATTTTATGGTATTGCATTAAGTATATTCTAAAACAAGACCAACCGCTTGTCAATACGATACTCCTAGGCCGAGATATTGGCTCGTAAACTTCCCCTCCCACAGGCCTCACGGAGCCTCGAATCCACATATTCACTATCCTTCTCGCCTTTTGCGGGTTAGGAAAGTCGCTTCGTGAGAGTTCGGTTTTTTCGGCGATAACTTTATGAATGAACGGCGTTTCGGTTATCATCGGTGACTTTCGGGGGCATCGCCTATGCCCTTATCTCCCATTATCTTTCCTAGCACGGCTAATGGCCGTCATGATGGAGCCGGCAATGTTTTCTAAATTAAGTCTCTACAACGCAGCTCAGTTACTATATGGTGTAGTAAGAGTACCAAATTTGGGCATGTCACATCAATTATCAGCGCTCCAAGCGGCGATGGAAAACGATAGCCAGACCCGCAAAAGGCGAGAAGGATAGTGAATATTGTGGATGGGAGGCGGCGTGAGGCCTGTGGGAGGCATGATTACACTCCAATATCTCGGCCTAGGAGTATCGCAGAGACAAGCGGTTGGTCTTATTTTAGAGAGCAAAGAATGCTGCTTAACGCAATACCATGAACTTGGTCTAGAACCGCATACAAAGTAGAATAATATTGCGGTGAAATAGCACTATTTTCCTGTTGTGCACTCTAGCTATTTGTTAGCTCTTGATATTATTCTATTTATCGCACGTATCACGGTTTCAGCAGAAAGATGTATTATTTATTTTTCTATTTACCGATACACTGCAGTGTTTAGTATGCCAATGGAACTGAACTTACCACAAGCTACTACTGACTGTGTTTGAGCAGACGTCCCAGATGCAATGTTGGTGAGTGCCCATGCTGCTTCAAACTGCAATGACGGACTGCACATACGACAAAAATTGCCAGTTAAACTTAAAACACATTTATATCAAGCAATCTTAATGCAATCTATGACAAAAATATAACACTTACACAAGTGTTTATGTATAGTTGTCAAGCATCACCACATTCATACTACTAAATAATTACATGATTTTTCCCGTTAAAATGGCATGCCTTTTTTTACCAATGAATAACTGTACCATCATGAAACTGAGTCGATAGGTAGAGTTCAACTAGATTTGGTTAGTTACTGGTCATAGAATACAACAATACTTTAACAAGTGCCGCAGAGCGACAGCGCTCAACTGACGTGTACTGTAGCCAGGTATTCTTCTGATAAACTCACTGGCAACCGAATCAAGTGCGCCCTCCTGCCACCGCGTTCGCGCTCAGAGCATATATCTAGAATACTACTAATACAGATCTAAAATCTATGATAGGCTTTGCTATACCTACTGGTAGTAAAGTAATAAAGATACAGCTGGGCAATTCCACGCTGGAGGGACTACAAAGTAAAATCTAAATTCAATAGTTCAGGACAAAAGATGTTTGCAACTGCAAGAAAACAACTTTTTACTGACATGGCAGTGTTGATTTTCGAATTTCACCATAATTCATTTAAATGTGAAAATGTTCTAATTTTTATTACAAATTTTGTGCCTAGAGTGATCATCCCATATTCTAGCTACAATTCATCAATGGAAAAAGGAAACATGCCAAAGTAATCTTTAGTTTAACCAGAATCAATGCCTATTATTTGGAGAGGCTGCTTTCAAACACTGTAAGAAAAATAACCAGAGTAGTGAGCATGCTAATTTAGTGCCACGTCAGTCACGAAAAGTTATAATTTTCTCCATATCTGACCCCTTTATCATTTTTGAAGATACTCATGATTCTCTTAGTAATGACCATAAGCTACCAGAATGAATAAACAAAAGCTTTAACTCTGATCAGAACAGGACACAGTATGCTACTGAAAACTGTCATGTCAGTCACAGTGTCACGTCAGTCACAATTTTTTAGGTGTGTCACGTCAGTCACACATTGTTTTTATTTCTATCTAGGATCTTAAAGTTAAGACATATCTGCCAAACTTTGTCTTAACTTTAAGCGACCTCAGACCTTGCTTAAAGCTCATCTTAAAATTAAGATATCCCATTCAAAGCCAAAAATCAGCCACAAAATCCCTCGAATTCAGACCTAATGATTAACTTTTATTCCATAAAATCTGTTTGGTGTTTTCAAAGCACAAACAGTGTCCAAAGACAATATAACAGTCTGTATACACACACAATGACACACACGTTGTCTGCTAGCTCACAACAAAGTTAATTACAAGTTTACAACAATGGTCATTTCCAAGGAGAAAATTACTAAAATGTATCTTTTTAAAGGTAGACTCAGTGCATATCAACAACTGATCTAGTTAAGCCAAAACACAAACATTTAGCAAATGTTATGTTTATTTTCAACAGTCATAAAATTTGAAGTGGAGTAAAATTAAGAAATGGCAGCCATTATAAGGTCTGAGGGCCATCTTAAAGTCAATTAAGACAGCTTAGTTAAGTTTTGCAATGACTGAGAAACCAATTTTAAGATGAATTTAACTAAGATAAACTGAGGAGATTTAAGATGTCTTGAACCTTCTAGGCAGAGCTTAAATTTAAGCAGCGACTGAATATTGAGGTGCCTTGTATCTAGGAGAAGTAAAAGCAGTAAGAGATGAGGGATTGGAATTTTCTGTTGTGATCAGGGCTGGCAGGTTTCGGAAATGGCCAACTCATGAAGATAGATTTCTTTACTTTGGCTCAATCCTCCAGTATCGGTAAATGCTCATGAAAACTATGACTTTCCTGGTTTTGAGTGAATGATTGAAAAATGGTATTTTTTGTGCAAATGGTAGGAAAATGAAATGTTGTATTGTATAATTTTCAGATAAGTTTGTTGTTTAATGTTCTTTTTAATAGTATAATTAATGCAATGTAAGAATTCTAACTGTTATGATTACCTTACAATATTTTAACTGTTTGTACTAAACTGTAAGTTGACGTGATTAGTTGTCATGTCAGTCACGGTCACGTCAGTCACGATGAATTTTCTAATTTTTTAAATAAATTATAATTGGAATTGATTATTTATAATATGTGTTTAATTGTTAGTTCATTGGTTAATTAAAATAGTAAAAACTGTGTTGATATTTGCTGTAAACTTCAGACAATTTGAAAATGCATTTTTTAGAAATATACCTTTGTCCGATTACTGCCACGTCAGTCACAGTGAGAAAAGAGTTGCCTATGTGCTGAGATCTTTATTGATTCTGAAACCTTGACCCCCAAATTCGACATACCGAGTCCTTTTCGTGATCCCCCCCCCTCCCCGACGTCCCGAATATCAAGACCGTACGTCGAGCGGATTGTGCCCAACTGTTCATGCACGAACGGACGGACGAACGGACAATCATGCGATTCTACAAGCTGCATCCGACTTCGTCAGCTGAGCTAACAACAACACAAAACGTTAAAAAAAAGTATACATGAGCTCCCCTACTTACGAACAGGATGGGTTCCTGGAGTTTGTTTGTAAGTCGAAATGTTCGGAAGCCCAACTTTACTCTTATAAATACTTAATACTGTACACAGCCTTGTAATAAAAAGGTTTGTACAGTACAGCTATACACCGCCAGAGAGAAAAAACAACAACAACTGCGTTGTGTTTACAGAGTGACCCTGAGCATCTACAGTAATGCAATCTATTGCACGGTGGTTGAACTTCCAAACCGGCGCGATGTTTGAAATTTGGATTTACAGACAGGTTTGTTCGTATCTCTGAAAATTTGTAACTTGAACGTTTGTAAGTAGGGGAGCGCCTGTATACAGATTTAATATTATTGCAATATCACTTACTTATCCTCACACTGTAGACATTGAACTAGAATAGGCAAGATTCCTGAACCTATTAAATCATCTATTGGTGGGTTTCTATCACTTGACAAAAGTTTCCTACAACAGAACAACTATATTAGTAAAGTTGACCTTACAACAATATGATTAGAACAATATAATGCACTGCATACCAAGAATTCATGTTGTAAAATTGTGATATACATTACACAGGGGTAGAAATTAATTTTTGAACAAGGGAGTCGGCAGCAAAATGAGGGAGTCCGCAGTCTGAAGTTCAAAACTAAAGCATAACAACAATAACGCATGTGCTTATTTTGAAGATTTATGTGATGCACATCTGCCACATTTTCTTTGGATATTTGCTGAAAAAATACTGTAATTCCGCGAGGTCGTGCTCTGGAACGAACTATACTTAGTATATCAGAATTTTCAGGGAGTCACACGGACTCCTGCATATGTCCAATCAGGGAGTATTTGACTCCGGACTCCCGTTAATTTCGCACCCTGTTATAACTAACGTTTAATCTTGCTTGCATACCATGACTAGAAAAGTCACATAAATCTGTTACTGCAACATGTATCTAATTCACTATAAATTCATTAACTTGGTTTCTGGTATATACATAAACCATATTTCTGGCAATAATCTTTGAAAATATATATTTTAGCCTCCAAAAAATATGTTAATGAAAACACTTACCGTGCTGCCTGTACTGCACTCAGCTGAAGTGCGGTCTGATCGCTGCTTGCATTTTGTATAATAGTTTCTAAAGATGTGGTGTTGACTAAACGGTCACTCTCTGAGTCTAAATCACTGCTGCTTTCCTGGATAGGTACGTTTCTCCTCTTAAGCAGATGTTCATCACGTTTATTTTTTCGCAACTCCACAGTAACCTCGCTTCGTCGCCGCCGCATCTCCTACAAGGGTATAATAGTAATAAATGTTGATTATAACAAATATTACTTTGAGCTAAATCCTACAAGGGAACACACACAATAGGGTTAAATACTACACAGCAAATTTTGCTGTTTAATCTCACTACTAATCCAAGAATTGGCTAGAAAATGTGGCACCATAACTAGACTTGCCATGCGCATTAAACAACTTAAAGGTGAAATAGGAAAAACTTAATCCAGCATATATAACCAACTGGAAAGCTTTGCCTTTAGCAACTTTAGTGTTTTTTTGCTATATATATGCAGTTAAATCAGCATCAGTATTAAATAGGGAAACTAAACGGCCCATACGCTGGTTATCTCTGCTATCGACACATGACATTAATATCAATGCTTGTCTACCATATTAGTTATACAACCAGTTTTATTGTTTGTTATTTGACTTTAAAGTATTTATTTCGAAAATAATTTCCAACCAGTCTCATGTTTTCCCAACTTTTACGAGACTTACTGTTATTGCTTGAGTAACAGAAACTGTCCAGAGTAACGATAAATGTCTTAGAACTTTAGCTATATTCTCCAAAACATGCATGGTTCAAATTTTGATTACCGCCGCCATTTCTTGCGAATCGTAGACTATCTAGCGCTAGCACGAGATATCAGCCAATTTCAAAATAGAAACATAGTAAACTACACAGAATGAGATGCCCTTTTGTTTGAGCGAAACAGTTCCCAGCTATGCTAATGTATAGGAAAATGGCGCTGCGACGTTGGTCGCCATTGACTGCCAATATAATATTCTTCGGCCGTTCTTATACGTTCAAACTAGAGCCGGGCAGGCTGTCAGCACGTGTGCATGGTAAAATCTGATCTATATACTTCACTTCACTCGCAGCATCGCGCCACGATTCCCAGCTATGCTAATGTATAGGCAAATGGCGCTGCGACGTCGGTCGCCATTGACTGCCAAGATAATATTCTTCGGCCGTTCTTATACGTTCAAACTGGAGCCGGGCAGGCTGGCAGCACGTGTGCATGGTAAAATCTGATCTAAATGCTTGACTTCCAAGATAAGAAAATGAAAGTGTCAATGACACTGTACATAGCTCACCACAAAAAAGGACACAAATGAGTGAGTAAGAAGAAGTCAGTTTTAATTGAGCAACCATCGACGTACCTTATA